CGTCTGCATGCGTGACTTCAGGATGTTGCATAGGACGGGGCGAATCGATTATTCATCTTGATCCAAAGTAACATGTCCGCCCCCATCCTTGGTGCATCTCACGGCACAGTTGGCGCATGTGTGGTTGTTGAGTTTACACTTACCAAAAACTGTCCTCGACGCACTTGACGCACCTGTCGACGGCTCCATCAGTGCCAGCCAGATTGATATCATCAACATGTTTGGCTGTCAGAAAGTCACTGCTTGTCTCAAATTCCTCGTCGTTGGACGCGGGTCTGAGACTCGTGAGCTGAGCTTCAGTGAGAAGCTCTAGGGGCGCGGGTCTGAGGCCTCTCGTTGTCTTTCTGAACTTCAGTGAGAAGGCTCCGGGTGCATCCTCGGCGCCGGCGCCTGGCTTGAGGCTCTGCAAGCAGCGTTTCGACTCATCGCAGTGCTCGAATCCTGGAAGGGGTCGAAGCACCGATGCCGATCCAGGCGGCAAGGTAAAGCACACCACACGTTCTTTTTCACCAGTTGCCCCAGCAAATTCCAGGTCGGTTAACCCTCTCGGAAAAAGCCATGTCGATGTCAAGCGAAGCAGTGACCCATTGCTTCTTGCACGCTGCCGCGCTTGCGAATAATCTCTGGCTTGACCGCCGCGCTGTCCCCGAGATGTTTCCACATCGAAAGCATCGAGGCCCATGAAACCCCAAAGTACCGCGCGTAATCTGATGGCGCGTTCCATCTCGCCCCTCGTTCTTCACGAAATGCGCACCTCGAAGTCATGATGTCTGAAGCTTTGGATATATATTGCATATGGAAAATCTTGTTGTCGAGCCCTGACTTGAGTTCATTATATAGGACCTTTGAAACCTCAACTGGGTTGGCCTGAATGTCGGCCTTCGTGAGGAGGTCGTTCTCCTCGACGACGACGGCTCGCTTTGCGGCGGCGGTTGCATGTGCTCGCACGGCGGCCACGCGGTCGAAGTCTAGCATCCTACGTTGCTGTTCGGATAGGACTACCTTGGACTCTTCTGCAATTAAGCAGAGTTCTATAGATTGACCGTTCTCGTTCGAGTCCAGTCCGTAACTATGGTCTACGTCCGTGGAACATAGTGGGACATGATCCGCCCTCTCGATGTCGGAGTCGCGTGGATGGCACCACGCAGGCAGGCGCCCCCGCAGTTCTTCAACTACCTTGACCAGCGCGCTGTTGTCAGTGATCAGATTTGCGGGTTGCGGGTACAATGGGAAGGTCATCTAATGGAGCTGCCTCCAGCAAATCCCTCTCGTCATGTAGCTCTGTGTACCACACCTCCATAATATGTGCCTCTGAGTCCGTTTCTGGTGCCTCATGGATCGTAGAGAGCCGTCCATCCTCCTGTGGTGGTCCGGTTTCTGGGGCGTCGCTGGCGTTGTTGTCCATAGTCAGTGCGTCTGCCAATTCCTCAGATTTCGCCACGTCACGGTCAAAGCCCGCTTGAAGTTGAGTGGACTTTAGGCACTGGATGATCCTCGAATGTGGTGATCCAGTTATACCATGCAGATTCAGGGCAGCGCCTTCTGCGCCACAGTAGTGGAAGCCTGGAGCCACGTCGTTGCCACAACGCACCAATGCGCAGCTGTCAGCATAAGCCCCTGGAGGTAGCATGTGGGCACTCCTAGCTAACCTAACAAAGACTACATTCTCGATACGACAGACGTTCCTGCTAAGGCCTTTTAGAGCTAAGAGTACCTTGGGAGACAGTCGGCTCGCACTTGTCCTCTGAAAAAGGTCCCCCTTCTGGTCGGAACATAGCCAAATGTCATAGCAGGTCCCCCCGCAGGTAGACTTGCGACACATGCCGACACTGTGCGCAACGCAGGGCTGCCAGAACCAATATCTCGGGCGATCGAAGCTTCGATGTATAGTTAATGCACGGCGCCGTTGAACGAGACTTGCACGTCGCAGTTTCCCACTCGACGAATGACTTGACCCCTGTCTCCTCCGTCGTGGTAGTGCTGATTAGCGACAGTGGTCTGAGTGCGTTGTGCACAATTGGTCGTGGCTACTGCAGTTGCTTATGTGATAGCTTCAATGCATGCCCGACGAACCACCAGAACTCGGGAATGATCACATGTTTCTGTCAGCTGCTCATGGTCCAGAACAGGCAGGTCAGGAAGCATTGCACCTTGCCGCCAAAATAAAGCGTTGCACGGTGACACCTCATCCTAGAAAGTGAACGTACCAGCGGCAAACAAAAATTCATGCTGCAGTCGTGTGAATACAAGAGGTATCTCTAACCTTTGAATTCAGATTCCACGACGTGAAGTACATGGCGTCATATGCCACTTCTGGCTTCAATTGTCGTAGCGCGTTGTCAACGCGCACGCACCCTCAACGCAGTGCCCCTTGCTGGAAGGACTGCCTTAGCTGCGTCGCCATTAAGGAGACCCCCCCCCCCCCATCTGACTAGAGTGCCGCGGCAGGTCCGAACTGCATCCAGCACTGATGTTACGCATCTAAGATACTAGACATTGTATTACCTGGTATCTCCATTCCAATAGCATATCAAATGTAACAACCAATGATATAGAATATATGATGCTCCTGTGTATGGAACATCAGGTCGCATTCGACCTCTTCGTTAAACTTACCAGGTAATGCAGTAGATGGCATAACCGCATGCCCTGGCTTATCCCAAGCCCTGCACTCTCGACATGCGTCAAAAACGCCTGCCAGATTAAGCCTGACGTTGTCGAGACCAGCTTTGGTTAAGATGAAAAGCATCTTAAGCACTTGAGCACGGCGCCATCGCAAGTGTAGTTTCCGCACCTCGCGTGTTACCACGCCTGGAACAAGACTTCGTAGGTTCTGTAGGCTGATTTTGACATCGAACCTCGACAAGTCTGGGAGTCGTGGGCGCGCAGCAGGGTTACCCGCAGGTGGTGGTGGAAGTGGATCTCCTCCCTGCTGTCGGCCGCGTCTGGCTTTGATCTGTGGCAGTCGTCTGTGATCATCCGAGCTACCGGCTCCACTCGGGGCAGGTTGCCCCGCGGCAGGTTCAGCACGCCTGTCTGCCAGCTGCAACATCGTGGCTGCTGGGAAACCGCACATCGTATTTTGCATAATTCAGGTTCTCAAAAACGATTATACTATTGATTGATATGTTTGTGGTGTTTTATTGAAAAACATCGCGTTCATTGTGAAACACTTCGATTCAAATATTACATATATACACAAAAAACATAGATCCTCGGACAAATCAGGTAGAACAGGAAATTTCGATGAAGCTGGGATCTGTCGCTTGCCAGCCGGCGCTACCGGCGATCCGGCGGCCTCAAAGGCGCAGGCGCCATAAAGGCATTGAGGCTTTCTCACATGGAGAGCCTTTGTTTTTGTGTTGGGGGAGGTAATGGCAGCGAAAGCATTCAAGTGCTACGGAAGGAAAGACGCCCCAATGTAGATTCCCCTGTTTGCGCGTGGGTGTGCTTGTGCGTTTGAGCATGTATGACAGAGCGTGGCTGCGTCTGTATGTGTGCGTGTATGCGCGTCTGCGTGTGGATGCGGTTTGCGCTTGCGTGTGCAAGTGTGTGTATGCGCGTATGTGATCGTCTGCGTGTGCGCGCGTGGAAGAGTGAGTGCGCGCCCGTGCTTCTTGTGTGCGTGTGCGTGTGTGCGCGCGCGTGAACGACGGGTGCAGGCGTGCGCATGCGGGCGGGCGTGCGTCGTTATATGGTGGTAGTGGTGGTAGTTGGTGGAGTGGCGCGCGTGCTGGGGGGAGTGGGTGAGGTTCGTCTCTGAGATGCGGGCGGGGCGGACTTGGCGAAAGCCGTGGTTCTCGCACTGATGCTTGGCAAAAAGGTCCGCTAGCGTAGATCTCGCATCATGACAACGAACATGCTGTTCCAAGGTTGTTCCCAGAAAAAGTGAGGAGCCAATTGAAGAAACTACGAATGAAACTATTGGGAGATGCTGGTGCTTTGGGAGTGCTCCTGGCTGGGGCCATTGCGCATGCCTATCGGCGTGCCGTGAGTTCATCCTAGGAGCCTTCTGGAGCCTTTTTTGGAGTCTCTTTGGGTACTAGTACTCTTGGCCGTCTTCGTGCTCATTGGGGCCGCTCGGTCGACTCGGCCCCCAAACCAATTGCATCGTCAGATCCCGATGATACTTCCAATCACACAGGCACGCCCACGCCCCAAGTCCTGTGAGCGAAACGCACTGTTGGCACCCGTGCGTTGCATTAAGTGCGCGGAGCCCATCGGGTCGTCATCGGCCCCTTTTCTCGGCCCCTTCTCGGGCCGCCTTGGAGAAGTTTGGGGCCCCCGAACAAGCGCGCAGAGGAACGCGCCGCGCGTGAGGTGCCAAGACTGGGCGCACTGGTGCGCAAGCGGAAGGCGAAAGCCCCTCGAAACTTGAAATCAAGCAAGGACCGATCCTCTTGGCGAACACATCAAGCATGCCATCGTTGCTTCCATGCAAATCAGCGTTTGTTCGCTGCAAAGCTGTTGCATTGATCTCACGGAACGGAATGGGACACGCAGAGCAACACCACGAGGGACGTAAAGGGTGCATAAAAGTGATGGCTATAAGGATCCGTTGCAGCATGAGCAGAAGACGGAAGATGATGACGACGGGGCGCAGGGAGAGGTGGATGAGGAGGAGGAGGAGGAGGCGGCGGAGGCGGAGGAGAGAGGGAGGAGGATGAGGAGGAGGAGGAGGAGGTGGAGGCGGAGAAGGGGGGAGAGAGAGAGAGAGAGAGAGAGAGAGAGAGAGAGAGAGAGAGAGAGAGAGAGAGAGAGAGAGAGAGAGAGAGAGAGAGAGAGAGAGAGAGAGAGAGAGAGAGAGAGAGAGAGAGAGAGAGAGAGAGAGAGAGAGAGAGAGAGAGAGAGAGAGAGAGAGAGAGAGAGAGAGAGAGAGAGAGAGAGAGAGAGAGAGAGAAGGAGCATGAGCAGGAGCAAGAGCAGACGGACAACGAGGAGGCCGAGGACGAGGCATGACTCGGACTGCTGCTGTCACCTGCAGTTGCGACGCTGTGTGGTCACCCTCCACGTGGGATCAACGACCACTCACCTGCGCGGCAGCGCCACTTCAAGCCTGCAGGGGCTGGCAGGTTCGGATGCACGTAGCCTCCCCTCAGCGCCTCCGCTAGTGCGGTTGGTACCTTGTACGAGCTGCTGCTGGAAATATTGTTTTTTGCCCGCTGTGCTGGAGTAGTTATCGGCATGCTGGCTGTTGCTGCCAAGGCCTCCATTCTGGCGTGGACATCCTCTGGCACGTCACCTGCCTTTTCGCCCAAGAGTCCGGGGCCGTCTACAGGCGCAACGTCAGGATCAATGACGATTGGAGCTTCATCATCACCATGTGGGCTGTGAGGGACCATCGCATCCAATTCAGCCTCCGATAGAATGAAGCCATCGTGGAGCATGCTCAGCATCATCTCCCGAGAGTAACCCTCCATGTGCTCGCGTCGATTGGGGCGAGCGCTCCCGAGAAGAACCCGCGTTTCTAGCATACGGCGGCATTCACCCGCACCTCCCGCCACAGTAATCGACATCTCCTTCGAGCACCTGTCACGGTTGGGATTCTTGCACTTGATCTGCCATCCATTCACGTCGTCATCACGCCACCGCGTAGTCAAACTGCGCATGCCCCACGAGTCTGCGTTGGCCCCTGAACGGGTATGAAACCCACGTGGTGGAGGAGATTCAGCTGGCGGTGGCAGCGGTGGTTTGTCATCGTCACTTTCGCTGCTCGAGCTGCTCGAGCTGCTAGAGCTGCTGCTGCTCGATCTGCTGGTAGATGTGTTTGAGCTGGTGTCCACCTCCTCCTCCTCCTCCTCATGATCTGCGTCCTCGTCGACCTCCTCATCGACGGCATGGTCGCCCTCGTCGGTCTCCCAAGCAGGTTTCTTGGGCCGCGGTTCCCAGGGCCGCTTTGGCTTCCCCTCGAGCTCCTTGTCGAAATCACCGATCTGTTGCCATCCCCTCTTCGCTGGGCACATCGGTTTCGCTTCGTACGTAGGGTCCAAGAGACGCTTGTATACCCCCTGGGCTTTCATATGGGGCACAGGGAGCTTGTGGCTGTCAGCTGTAAGTAACGAGATCAAATACTCCTTGGCGGTGCTCTTCAATTGCTGCCCAGGTTTGATCCATCAAATTTTGGCTGAATCACCGTGCACATAAGAAGCGAGCGCATCCTTGCCCACCTTGACCCGACACTCGAACTCTCCTTTTCCCACTCCATCTTGTCTGGCAGGTCTTGCCCGCGAAGGAAGCATCGCGATGCATCGCGCCCCCCGCCCCCCATCCTCCGACCCCGCAGCTCAGAAAAGCGCCCCAGACCAGGCCCGAAAACACATGCCCGAATCTCTCATGCAGAGCAGACCTATTTTTGTCGAGCAGTGTAGTTTCTACGCCTCGAAGGTG